ATTTATAAAAAGAAATGAATCCAAAACATTTCTTCTAAAATAAATGAAAAAATGGAAAAAAAATGAATCCAAAATACTTTGTTTTGTGGTGTAACTACCACTACAAATATTAAATACCAATTCACTTGTATATAAGACATGTTAACATGATTCCATCAAGAGGTACCTTTTGACAGATGAAGGTTGACATAGTCGATAATTAAATCCCTTCAGTCTAAAATAAATAAAAAATGGAAAAAAAATGAATCCAAAATACTTTGTTTTGTGGTGTAACTACCACTACAAATATTAAATACCAATTCACTTGTATATAAGACATGTTAACATGATTCCATCAAGAGGTACCTTTTGACAGATGAAGGTTGACATAGTCGATAATTAAATCCCTTCAGTCTAAAATAAATCAAAAATAGAAAAAAAATGATCCAAAATACTTCGTCTAAAATAAATCAAAAATAGAAAAAAAATCCAAAATATTTCGTCCTAAATAAATCAAAATTAGAAAAAAATATGAATCCAAAATACTTCGTCTTATATAAATCAAAATTAGAAAAAAAAATGAATCTAAAATCTTCCAATCACAATTTAATTGTAATTGGATGGTATGCACCTGAAGATACTGCCAAATAGAGTAACGAACTTTGATTATGAGATAAAATTAAATAAAAAAGTTGAATATTGAGAATTTTCAAACCCCTTCGACAGTAGAGCTCGTTCAGGAGATAAAGGTACTTTTGTTCTAAAGTAGTACTTTATTTACGTCGCAACTGATGTTATTGGTCAGGGAAACATCCCTGAGGAAGACATGTATTAGAATGATAAAACTCTATAGAGGGGATGGTAGTACCATCGTGCAAAGTCGGGCACTTTATGGTTTTACGGGAATTGATTCCTTGCATCCTCAGTCCTTTCGCAGTCTTATCAAATGGGTCACCTACGCGCGCAGTGATGCTTGACTTAGTGAACGTGTCTTGGCCCATTCTTCGAAAAAGGCACTCATACTATTTGTTTATCCGTTAAGATTTGTCCCGCAGTGGATTGATCGTTAAGACACGGTTCCCAACAGATCACCGAAGTCAAGCAATCACTGGATGCGGTCAGTGCGCGGTCGAGGTGACCACTTTGATCAATCTGCGTAGGGACAGAGGGTGTGCGGTATGGGTCCTCGTTGAACTGTTCTACCGTAAAGTGCTCGACTTCGCTTGCAGGTCGTCGGGTTACCGAAGTGGGGGTGACCCCCCCCCCGCAGAGGATCAAAAATTGTGCTGGCATGTCTTCGGATCCTCCTCGGGGATTTTTCCCAGACCGTCGTCGCCATTGTGCAGCTCTAGTGCGACATAAATTAACAACAACAACAATATAAGATTTCTTTTCTCCCCTTTAGGGACAATGAAGGAGGTTCCAGAGGAAGAGGAGGAAGAAGAGGTATGGAGTTCCCGGACTACTCCACCCCCAAAGCTTCCAGGCACCCTGATTCTGGGTGGGGATCCTGAAGACTGGAGTGCTCCAGAACCTCCTGATGGTGGATGGGGTTGGGTGATTGTGTTCGCCTCATTCTTCTGCAATGTTGTGGTGGACGGTATAGCCTATAGTTTTGGAGTCTTCCTCATCCACTTTGTGGACTACTATGGCACTTCAAAAGGGAAGACAGCGTGGGTGGGATCCCTACTCACTGGATGCTATCTACTCGCAGGTTACTTTTATTCTAAAGTATTCACGAAATATCAAAATGTATAAAAATTATGTCAAGACAATTTGGGATGACACTGTTTGCAATAATTTGTTTGCATTTCGATATTTTGCAAAAAAGTTTTTATCTTCTTTTTAAAATTCATCTTTTATTTTGTTATTATTCGGAAATTTTGTTAACTTCAAATTTTAAATATACATAAGAAGGTGAAATAAAATTTCCCGTCGTAAAATTTCCCTTCACCACGGTCCCCCCTCCCCCGTGGTGAAGCGTGTTCTTTAAATACAGCTTTCATTGCTTCAAAATGATTTGGAGAATCGATATCACAAGTATTCTGATGAGAAATACTCATTATTAAAATACAGTTTCGGAATGATAGGGTTGGCCATTAAACTTCTTTAGTTTAGAATCAAGTTACCTGATACGGAACCAACTATGAATCGTTATAGCGATTACAATAGTTTGCATACTGAAGTGATTCAATCAATTTTTCCTGTTTTTTTTTTTTTTTCAACAACACTAAAAGTTAAGAAAACAGGGTTTGCACCCTTTTTAAAAAAATACCAGGCAAACTCAGTTGAACACCTTCTCATCAGTTAAGGAGTCTTACAAAAATAGTTACTTAATTACAAACACAAACAGTACGAAAAGATCAAGAAAAAAATTAAAAGAAGCAGACAATGTTGAAACGTCGGAGAGCTTGTTTACGTTATTTAAAGTTGTTTACAAGTTATTCTCAATGGTTGATGTTGCCGTCGGCCATTAAGGCTGAGTGGGTGCGATTGTTTTTTTTCCAGTGGCATCATCTATGGCCAAGAATTCGTCATCTGCCACACCCATACGTCACACCCGTTTGTAAGGTGCACGCATTCATACATCCATTCATTCGTCCACAGATCGTCATTTTGACCTGAACCAGAGAACGATCCATCTTCAATTCAGTATCCCCAGAGGTCGCTGCTGGAACATGGAGGACTTTGTGACCCGACAAATTTAACATGCACCACTCACCATTTACTACACGAGGAGTCTTCGGCCGTCTGGATTCGAACTACCGTTCTCACCCACGTGAGTCGAGCAACTTGCCAACCAAGCTTTCCCAGCCTACAAACAATTTCTAAAAGATATTTAATGTTGACTCTTTGTTTTTTTCGGTACAACAAGAATTGCTATAGTCCTTTAAACATTATTTCTTGAAATTTTATTGCTAAATTAGCTTTTTTATGAAATAAATTATGTAACAGGAATGAATTAAAGCAAATTGCTTTATCGATGGACTTCGTACAATATTGTATTCAGGATGTCACAAATGCTTCCTTCGGAATGTTGATCAATATTAATTAATATCCTTGCACTACTTGAGTTGATGATGTTAATTATAATGACTCTTTTTAACATTATAGAATATTTTTGTATAATAGGTAAATAGGTTTTGTATAATATAATAGGTAAACTGAAATGTGAGATTTTAATATTTAAGAGCATTGGGAGTCTTAAAATTGTTAAATAGCATAATGCAATTAAATTTAAATTAAAAAAATATCAATACATTTTTTTATATCAATTCTATACTTTTATTACTAGAATGCTGTCTAAAAATGCTTTAAAATATATGCTCACAATTTATATTTAATAATTACTATTGCACAAATTTGATGTTTTTGATTGCAAACTTGAATTTGTCTAAAAATTCCTTACGACTAAAGTTAAAAATAATATATATATATATATATTTATATATACTGTCATTTTTCAGTTCATAAAATCCCAAAAAAGTAAAGTGAATAAAAAGCTCTGAAATTTTTTATATTAATCGAAATATGTAATGGCATTATAAAGAAAGTATATATCCCATAAATTATACTTAATATTTAAATAAATTAATTAATTTCACTGTTTAAAAAGTGAGGGAATGATATTTTATTTTAATACATGTTTTTCTCTAAGTTACAGCTACCTCAAATTTGAAAATGATAACATACTAAGTATATCTAACATTTATTATAATTTAGTTTTATATACTTAATAGTTTTTAAAGGTTTGGGAAATAAAATTGGCTGGCACGATTGAACAAAATTTTTTTTATGATATACTCATCTTGAATCATTCCCTCACTTCAGCGTCATTCCCTCACTTTATACACTAGTGAGGGAATGACGAATTCAATAAAATTTAAAAATA